CACAGATGTTATGGAATAACATCAAACTATTTTAGATGGAAATTCAAGGTGGTGTCGCAGAGTGACACCTTAAGTGTTGAGGAATGACACCATTTATGTTGACTTCAAATTTGTAATTTTGTTAACACTGTGATGAATAAGGTTGATGTTTACTATAGTGTATTCATTTAGCTTCTTGCTAACATGTGTGATGTATGTCCTTAGGTCTTGATTAATCCAAATATAAGGATAAAGGAAAAACTTCAATCTAAGAAGCTAGCAAGGTGGATACAACTCAAAACTTTTATTTAGTTTATTTGTCAAAAGTTCTTTTAAACCATATGTAATGATACAGCTATGTAACACTGCATACTTTGGTAAAACATTTGCGAAAACATGCCATATATCAAACCATTTGTATACAAACTTCCATTTTTAGTTGATTTGTATTATAAAAAGGAAGTTTATCTTATTATATATTGCTTTATAAATTGATTTTGAAGAAAATGGAAATGGGATGTTACCCATTTATGGGTTTTCTCATTTTCAAAAACCTCCTAAAATAACACATTAGCATAAAAGCCCCCTTCAAACTTCCAAACTTTCGAATATAATGAAGTGTGATATTAGAAATTATGAGGGCAACACATGTTGATATTTGAAATGACGGCTCTTATCAACTTATTATAAGTCAGAAGAGTTTAACTTCTTTAAAAACTCTTTATTACTGGTTTGACACCGGTATAAGTTGTTTATCCAAACACTCAAAAGTGCTTATTACCGGTGCCACACCGAAATAAGTCAATACGTTGTTTTTATAAACAATCCCAAACACCCCCTTATCGCCACTCTTCATAAAAAACGATTCATTTCAAAAATTTAGTAAATAATGGAAATCAACGATGGATGTATTCAATTGATTCAATGCAATATATGCACACGATGAACAATACCCTTGTACGCGTAACTTCTTATTGTTTGAAACTTTTTGTGAACAACTTTATGATAAATTCTAACCTTACCTTCTTTGAAAGGTTGTGTTAATGTATTCAAATGTTTGAAGGCATTATGTTATGAACACTGCTCGTATAAATGTACTTTCACCTTGAATGTTAGATATTGTTTAAAGGAACTATGTGCATGTATGCACAATATGAACAGTACCATATCAACTATTCAAATCAACAATACAATTACAAATGTAAGATCATATGTAACACATTCAATTTTGAAAAAAGACTATTTTAAAATTTTCGATCAAACAACAATTAAAAGATAAATTCTTTTCTATATATAAATACTTGATTACGTCAAATAACAATTGCAGATTTAACATCAACAAAATGGCAAATCAAACATTGCATAAAGTCTAGGTCAAGGTTGAGGGTTCCTAAAACTCAAATACAGTCGCTATACTACAATATAGAATACGTTCTCTAATAGCTAAATCCTTCTCGTGCATCTAACTAGAAACCACCTTTTCACTTTGTTACCAGTATTATTTCTCAGCAAGGACCTGATGCACATGCTGATAAAATAAAAAGGTTGATGCCTAGTGAGTTCAAACAGTTTTCATCATAATTATAAAAATGGTGAAAACTGAAAAACTGCTCATTTAAATAATAATTTCTCAAATGAAATGTTTATATCATAAAAGTAATATCTTTCCAAAAACCATCATTTTCGTGATGAAACCACAAATCAAAAGGCCCATTAAAATATGTACTCAAAAATCTAATACTCACTCAAAACATGAATAAAACTCAATGCTCAAATACTAGAACATGAATAAAACTCTATTATAAAAAACACCAAAACATGGGCAAGACTCGATACCCAAAATCATAAATTATGGAAAACACTCTATACTCAAAACGTCACGGAAAACATGGATATATATAACTCAATAACCAAAACAACGCCTTTTGGTAACTAGGGAGATCCGTTTCCATCGATCATGGCGAAACACAAAGTAAGCCATTCAACAACGTTACCGAACATATCTAAAGGTTATTGGGATCCGTGAACGGCTCTACCGAGTATCACCTCAAGACCTAAGCTCCGTATATGGCTCCAATGAGTATCACTGCAAGCCCCGAGGGTAACCAATATTTCTCTTCGTCCTCCACATGAGTTCACCAAAAAAAAAAGTCACCGTCCTTCGTGTACGACTCTAACGAGCATCACTGCAAGACCTAGCCTCGTATATGACTCAATAAAGTACTATCGCAGGCTACTAGCCTTCTATACGACCCAATAAGGTACTACCATAAGCTCTCCAACCATGAATTAGTGACCACTCATTAGACATTATAGTGAGAACATCAAAACTCCTCACTTAAAACAATAAAACATCAAAAACTCATAGGTCCTGGAGTTTGACTCTTCATGAGCCTATCTCTGCAATATTCACGGTCTCAGAATCCAACCCTACACAGGTCCTTCTCTACAATACCGACATAACCAAACTCAACCACTCTAGGTCTATTGCTCGTAAAATAGTACCAAATTCAAATGAAATTTTTTATATAATTGATGGTATTTGATAAAGCCCGATTCATATAAAGGAGAAATTATGTTTTATTTGGTTTGGAAGATTCTTATCATTTGGTGAAGGCACGATAAATATTGTTGCAACAACGATGGTTATGGAGGTAGAAGCATTATAGTTGGTGGACGATAGTGGTTGTGGAGGACGTGAGGATGGTGGTAGTGGTGGCAGCCGACAATGGTGGTGGGGGTAGTTGTGGCCTATGTGGTGGAGGTAGGTGTGATGGTGGGCAATGGTGGTGGTTATCATGGAGGTGATGGTGGCCGACGATACTATTAGTGGTGGAGATTGATGGTTATGGTTGTGGACGATACGCTTTGGTTATCGACGAACGTTTCCAAAGGCGACCATCTTTCAATACTATTTGTTACCTTACGTTGCCATTTTTATATTATTATTGAATAACAAGGCTGGGGGCTAAGATAACTCAAATGGGAGAGTCGTGTTATGGGTGACCTTAGTGCACTGTTTAGAGAACACTTGTGTATGTGATGCAAGTGAACGTCTACGAAAAAGCTGTCGTAAAGTTTCGTTGTTCGTTCCGTCGTCAACCCTATCTATGTACAGAGAGAGATACAGAGAGAAAAAAGTAAGGTTCATACGAGAACGCCAACTATTTAAGAAAACAAAAAAGACCATCAATGTACAAAATTACATATGATTTTACATTAACGTCAAAAAAATGGAAGTGGACGAATTTTGAACCCGTATAAATTTTGTACTTGAATACATATATGTGAATCATGTAAGACTTTGTACATGAATATATATATATATATATATATATATATGTGTGTGTGTGTGTGTGCATGCGCACGCACGTGCGTGTGAATAATGTATGATTTTGTACGTGAATCATATATGATTTTGTACATTAACGGCTTTTCTCTTGTTTTCGTAAATGTTAAATATTCTCATTTGAAGTTGCCCTTATATACCTATAAGTGCATAATCTATTTATTTATATCTTTATCTATATAAAAACAACCATGGAAAATACGGAGTCAACTACTAAGCATTAGAAATCATATATTTTTTTTCTCTTACATTATTATTTGCATTCTAAATTATGGTTTGCATCCCACATTAGATGAAATAATGAAATAGGCACGAGGAGATGGATACAAAATGAAGAGGGCCAACTTTTTATTTATTTATCAATATTGTTTGCATCCCACATCGGATGATGGAACGGAAGTTGTAAGACGGAGGTAACTACAAAATGATTTAACTAACAATGGAACAAACATATCTTTTTCGAATCTCGACATTTTGATTAAAATCAAATATAATATTTGTTCTTTTTGTATTTTAACATATCTATTTTGAAACTTAGGCTTTATGTTAAGATCAAGTGTATTAAATGTTCTTCTTGGTTTGATATTTAATATCTGGGTCATCGACCTACTTGGTATTTTAATCTTTTATATGTGAATGACCATTATACTATTCGTGATGTTGTTCTTCATGCGTCATTTTGGCGTTACACTACTATCAAGATTTCGCACACCCCTATGATTTACAATTCAATTATTATAAAACATTTTTCATAACTTCAAATTTTTCTAAAAGATAAAGTTTAGTTTTGAAAGATTTTTAAATTTTCTTTCACATTATTGTTTGCATCTCAGATCATATGAGAGAATTAAAGAGACAAATGATAGATGAATATAAAAAGAAAAGAGCCAACTCGTTTCTCAATTTATAATGTGCATCCCACATCAGATGATATATGGAATGAAAGTGACAAGAGGGAGAAGAGTAGAAAAATAAAGAGCCAACAATGAAATAAACATAAGTTTCTCGAATATCCACTACTAAAAAAAAGGTATCACCGACGGATTTTTCTGGCGGAATTTTCGTCGGAAATATTTCCGACGGATCCCAAAAAAGTAAAAAAAAAAATCAACTTTTATCCATATCCGCCACAGATCCCCCACAAATCCCCCACTGAATTTTTTGGAAAAAAAATTAAAAATATTTAAAACGGTTTTTCAACGGATTTCTGACGGATTTTTTACTTATTCAAAACCGTCACAAATCCGTCGTAAAATTTCTCTAATTTATTTAAATAAATTAAAATTTGTTTAATTTATTTAAATAAATTAATCCGTCCATATCCATCGGAAAAATGCTATTTTTATTTTTGAAATAAAAACTGGTTATTATTTTGGAAGAAAATAGAAAAAGTTTACCGACGGATTTCCGACTGAAATTCCGTCGGTAAATCTAATCCCATTTTATATTCATTTTAATTAACCCGAGCAATGGATAAAATATTATAAACTTGCACGACGGATTTCCGACGGATATTTTCGTCGGAAAATACAAATCCGTCGGATATTCCGTCGAAAAATGCATTTAGCGGCGGGGGTTTTTCCGACGGCAAAATCCGTCGGAAATCCGTTGGAAAGTTGTTTTTCCGACGGATTTATGACGGATTTTGCCGTCGGAAAAACCAGATTTTTTAGTAGTGATCGGCCTTTTGGTTAAGATCAAGTATAGTATTTGTTTTTATCAGTTTAATATCTAATATATGAACCATCAACCTCACTTAATGTTAATTTTTAATTTTTATATCCATTATCCTAAATTGGTGATGTGATTCTTCATGCATTGTCTTGAGCCTACATTACTACTGCATGCCACAACTTACGCACCATTCTAATTTTCAGTTGAAATAATATAGAATGTTTTTTTTCACAACTTCAAATGAGATTTCAATTAAATTTGTTATAAAATTAAAATTGTGACGTCTAATTGAACAAACTACTAATATTAGTTAAACATTTGTAGTGTAATTTGCATATAACGATCATCGTTATAGAACCTAAATTATCATACAGTCTAAGATTGTTGCTAATTTCTCTTAAAAAAATTAACGTTAATGAGTAAGTGTCTCACAGATTTGCCTAAAATTTGTGTAGAGTCATGACATCAAATTTTAGTTTATAGCATTCTTCTTTTAAAATGATATGATTTTAGGATTGTGAAATCATCAATAAGAATATATAATGTGATGATCGGATTTATTGATTTGGAAGTTAGGGGATTATTTTTAAAATTGGTTTGAAAGTTTAAGGGTGTTTTTTGTTAAGTGATGAAAGTTGAGAGATGTGTTTGAAAAATTGGTTTTAAACCATCTTTACTTCAGCGTCACGTATATATATATATATATATATATATATATATATATATATATATATATATATATATATATATA